CGCCTCCTCCACCGCCCCCTCTAGCTCCACCCGCTCCCTTGCCCCCCTTGCCCTTGCCAGCGCGGCGTCTGCCGCTGGGGGCAGACGCCGCGCCGACCGACTCAAAACCAGTGAGGTCGGCCGCAGCGGCAGAGGCGACAGAGGGCAGCAGGGGGGAAGGACCACACCCCTCAAAGATGGGGGTGCGAGGGTCACCCCGAGAGGCCCCTACAGCGACAATACTCTTCTCAGCCGCTAGCAGGGACTCCTCAAGGAGGTCGACAGTGAGAGTGGTGGGACAGACAGAGAGAAACTGGTCCCTAACGACACGAAGGGACTCAGGGAGACGGGTGACGAGAAAGTAGAGAGTGATGTACATGGGAGGAGGGTTCGCAGCGCGGAACTCAGCAGGAAGGGCAGCGCGGTAGCGGGTGTCACTAGCACGGAGGTGGGTAACGAGGTCAGCGACAGTGGGAAAGGAAGCGAGGTCAGGGAAGAGAAACGGTAGCATGAGGCGGCTAAGGGTAGCGGAGGAAGGGGAGGAGTAGCGTGCAACTACAGCGTCGTACAAGGCCTGAGCGGTCTTGCACTGACTAAAGTGGGCACGCTCAGAGGAAGGGAGGTGGCGACGCACAGCAAGACGTGCAGCAGCATCGCGGGTCGCCCACTTGGAGCGAACGGCAGAGTCAGCATCAGCAGGTGGGGCAGGGACAGCGCCAGAGACAAAGTCAAAGAGAGAGACCTCATCTATCGCATCACACAGTAAGTACAGCTGCAGGTCTTCAATCCAGACGGCAAAGTCAATGGCCCTCCCCTCAGCGTCAAAGGTAAGAACATTGGGGGTGGCCATGACAGCAGCTGAAAATCTCACCGGGCTGGGAGAGGCGGGTAGGTCAGCAGCAGAGGAACAGCAGCACGGCTCCGCAGGCGGCTCGGGCGGCGCGGGCGGCTCGGGCGGCACGGGCGGCTCGGCGGCGGCTCGGGCGGCGGCTCGGCGGCGGCTCGGCGGCGGCTCGGCGGCGGCTCGGCGGCGGCTCAGGCGGCGGCGGCTCGGCGGCGGCTCGGCTGCTGCTGGGCGGCGCGGGCGGCTCGGGCGTCACGGGCGGCTCGGCGGCGGCTCGGGCGGCTCGGCGGCGGCTCGGGCGGCGGCTCGGCGGCGGCTCGGCGGCGGCTGATCGGCGGGGCCGCTTAGCAGAGTGGCGGCGGGGCCGCGACCGAAGAGAGCGGCGGGGCCGCGTAGCAGAGGGCGGAGGGGCCGCGTAGCAGAGGGCGGCGGGGCCGCGTAGCAGAGGGCGGCGGGGCCGCGACCGAAGAGAGCGGCGGGGCCGCGTAGCAGGGGGCGGCGGGGCCGCGTAGCAGAGGGCGGCGGGGCCTCGTAGCAGAGGGCGGCGGGGCCGCGATCGAAGGGCGGCGGGGCCGCGTAGCAGAGGGCGGCGGGGCCGCGTAGCAGAGGGCGGCGGGGCCGCGTAGCAGAGGGCGGCGGGGCCGCGTAGCAGAGGGCGGCGGGGCCGCGAGGCAGAGGGCGGCGGGGCCGCGTAGCCGAGGGCGGCGGGGCCGCGATCGAAGGGCGGCGGCGGGGCCGCGTAGCAGAGGGCGGCGGGGCCGCGATCGAAGGGCGGCGGGGCCGCTAGAGAAGGGCGGCGGAGCCGCGAGGGGAAGGGCGGCGCAACGGTCCGCTAGGGGCGACACGACGGGTCGCTAAAAAAAAACGCGCCTCGGGGCGCGGTTCGGTGGGCCCTAGAAGCAGTCCCTAGGAGGGAACCTGCTCTGATTCCATGTGGAAACAAAGAACGAGAATGAATTGACTATGAACGAAGTGAGTACAAATAGGAAACCCTAATTGGGTTGTACCCCCTATGGGATACCCCACTATAGCCTACAGAAACAAGTAAGCTATAAGTTCTGACAGAACCAAGTGTCTTGGCCGGACGGTTCACTTTGAGCGATGGCGGCGTACGTTGGGTTCGGTTGAAGAGATTCGCGGCGAGGCGTACTGTTGTCAAGTTGTTCTTCGGGTGAGTAGTACGGTGGTGACTCTGTTGTGCAGGAGTCGTTTATCTTGACCATGCAATTGACAATATTTCTTGCTCCTTGTGCAGGTTGTGCAGATGAAGTCTTTCAAGCTTGGAGTGCGGTCATCGGAGTTGCTTGCGTTGAAGCAACTTGGGAGCTTGAAGGCCGGAGTTGTCGCTGTGGTGTTGTCGACTGCTGACGAGACGGGCAGTGTGTGCGAGGATGACCTGAGGTCTTGCAGATGTGACAGAACGGAGGTACCGTCTTCATTTGTTGCTGTTGCCGATTGTTGTTGCTGTTGTATCGTCGCTGAGTGTGAAACGCAAACTCCGGTGCTAATGATTTCTTCTTGTGCCTTTCTTCTTGCAGGTCCATATCCTGCTGCTCGACGTGGATTTTGGCGCAGAGTGCCGCTTCGGAGATCCTCCCGTGTGCTCGTAATATGGCGCGAGTGGAGCGCCAGTGGGGGCCGAGACCGCCAATGACCACCGTGACAAAGGCGTCTTCTGAGATTGACCCTCCGCATCGAAGAAGCTTGTCACGCAGTTCGCGGCAGCGGCTGATATAAGCCATGCCTTTCTCGCTTGGTTTCATTTCAATCGTTGTCAACTGCGCCATTAACCTGCTTTGATTTACGCTGTCTGTTGCTTGATACAGGTTCTTCAGGTGGTTGTATGCGAGCTCCGCGGAGTTGCCGTAGCCTCGGTAAGTCCTGATGTTCTGCTGCTGGATCGGGGTAATGTTTCTTAGCAGTATCGTGTACGCCATCATCGATTGAAAGGTGTACTGCTGCTTCTCATATTGTGTCCCGTTTGTTGGATATGGCAGGGACCCGTCGAAGAAGCCGAGAATCTGTGCTCCTTCCATCATCAGTTCGAACTCGAACGACCAGGTGAAGAAGTCTTTCCCGTCGAAAGGCTTTGTTGTTTGCAGCTTGAGAACGTGCGCGAATTGCGATTAAACTTGTAATGCGTCCAATGCCTTTTCTTGTCCCGGTGCAGGTTGCGGTTGCGGCATGAAGCTGACTGAACCACGCTGGGGTTCGTACGGCGCAAAGGTAGGCTGCTGTTGTTGTTGTTGAATCCCGCGTGCGTAGGATGATCCGTCGAGACTCATAGGAGTCACGTTGTTGTTGTTGCTGTTGTTTGACTGCGCAGGTACTCCTTGCTGGTGTTGCTCGTAGAAGGACATGAAGGAGAAAAACTTCTCCATCATGCTTGGATCGAAGCCTGCTGGCGTTTCCGTGGACCCAGCTGCTGGTCTCGTGGTAGTCCCTTCCTCTGTCTGTAGGCCAGAGACAGGTGGTGGGGTAGGAGTAGTACCGGGAGAGCTGTTGGAGGAGCTCCTCTCATTTCTGGTTGATATGTCTTCTTTGATGTAAGGAGTGCCGAATAATAAATTTTAACTCTAACTTGCTCTCATACCATGTTGGGCTGAAAAGCCCTGAGGATCTTTGTAGAGTTCAAGTCTGAGTAGGATTGTAATAGCAGAAGCGTTGAATAAAAGGTCTTGAACCACCTTGCGCTAGTATGTGAGGGCAAAGTAAGTTGATTAAAACAAGCAAATACAAGGCTTTATATAAGAGTACAAGGAATATGAATAGATATAAAAACTACCTTGCTGTTGCGATTCGATACAGTGCAACTCGGGCAACTGCTCAATGTCGAGTCAGTTGTGTGTCCTTGCTGTCGCGCTGTTTTGGTCAAGTCAAAGGTCGCTGACTTTTGACCTTCGCGTAACCTCCAGCGGTTACCCTAACCTCCGAGGGTTGACTCGCGATGCTTCGATTTGGACTGCTTCGCTTTTGTGTCCTTAGTTTCGACACGACAGAGGCGCTTAAGACTTATTGTTCCCAACAGTTGCAACTGCCAGCTTGATGTGCCAGGCATGAGCAGGGTAGGATACATACTAGATAAGGCCCTGATGATTTTTATTTTTATTTTCTAACCGTCTAGCAGGTGCAGCTAGCACTGTATGTGGGAGTGTTTATGAATGGGACAAAAAAAACAAAATAGTATGGAATATCATTTTTATTTTCAAAGGGGTTATGATTTTCGTTACAACCAGGACGGATCAGCCAAGGCTTTTTTGAGCAACCTTTGAGGACGGTGACGTGGCTTCTTGATGCTTTATCGTTGCGTCTTTGGCCAATCCCTAAAGAAAGCTTGTCACAAATCAGCACAAGCCATCTCCAAGTTCCACTGACCGAAAACTGCACTCACCTCCTCGTTCGCTGATGTGTCAAGTGTGTGTAGAGGCGAATTTCATTCCATAAGATAGTTTACGGCTGGATCTGCCTCGTCGGAGTATTCGAGGGCTGCCACGTATACATTTTTTTTTGGGATTGGTTCGCCTTTTCGCTTTTCCCAGCAGACAGGGCGCAGTGGCAGAAATTGAATATCGTCCTCTGCAAGATCCCGAAAGCTGGCTGGGGCGTAATATCCGCGGAGCATGGCGGTGGCGGAATGTCCCCTGTTGTTCCGCATCGCCGGCAGGCACCTTTCTGCAACACTCCTCGTCACCAGAAGCTGGATTGCCCCCCTCTCTTCTGCACTTGTCCCCATTGCCCCCTCCACCCAGCGGAGAGGCCGAGTTCCCAATTCGCTGAGGCGAAGGGGGAATTTTGAGGATGCAGTATTTTCTGCCTCCGCGGATCCGCCTTCCGCGCTGCACATCTTTCCTTTCCCCCACGCGGGGGACATTTCCGCTTCGAGCCATGTTCTCCTGCCCCCCCCGCCTCCGCCATTTCTAGATTCATCGTCATCAGTCTGCTTGCCTCCCTAATATGTAATAAAGCCCCTCCAGGGCAATGTGTTGCTATCTCCGGTTGTGCATTGTACTTCATGACCGTAACTGCAAACACTGGATCTAACAGCAAGCACCTTCGCGTCGCTTGCGTGTGTTTCGCTTCAGTTGCGTAGCAGGGTGTTGCCTACCACTGCGTGAAACGAATCGCCCTTTTTCAAACAGTTTCCTGTTCTCTCTTTCTTATTCACGACTTCGTCACCATGGAGGCGTCAACCCGCGCCGCGCTGTCGCACGCGCTGCACCCGACCACCCTCGTATCGGCGCCCAATCTACGGAGATCGGTGCATGTGGCGGCGGCGCCACAGCCTCTACCTCCTCTCGTCGCGTCACGCTCGTCGCGCTCGTCGCGCTATTCGCGGAAGTCGTCCAAGTCAATGATGCCCGTGTCGCCGGGCCCCGGGATCGCCGCTGTCGCCGGGAAGAAGAAACGGTTGTCTCGCAACCGCGCAGCGTCGCCGCCGCCTCAAGCCATCGTGTCCGATCAATGTAAACAATTTCATTCCAGACCACTCTCGAGTTCGAGTAATTTGTCAGTTCATCGCTGCGACAATAGTTTTCTCGCTACGCAATCTTGACGGTTGCATGTCTCTTGTCAGGTCATGCGCACGATCGCTCCTCATTCAGCTCCTTCAAGAACTTTCTGCGACGTGCTGCGATGTTGCTCTGGCCCTTTACGCCACCATGTGCGGATCTTGGCCATCTTTCCCCCGTTATACAAGCTGATAGGACTTCCCTTTTGTCACATCCCATCGCGCCCCTTCAACATTCGAATTTACAATACATTTTCGTCGTTTTCGTCGACCCTTCCTCTCATCCTCCGCGTTCCCCGCTTTCCGTCTTGAATTCCGATTTTTTTCCCCGATAAACGCAGTCGCAGTCTCCGAGGAGACTGGCATCAGCACGGACGCGCACGCGCACGCGGCGGCGGCGGCGGCGGAGGCGGGGGCGAAGGTGGAGCAGGTGTACGAGGAGGTGGACGGGCACATGGTGCCGGCGCGCATGCTCACGTTCACCATCGTGGGCGCGTCGGGCGACCTGGCGCGCAAGAAGATCTTCCCCGCACTCTTCGCGCTCTACTACGAGGGCTGCCTCCCGGAGGTGAGCCAAGGGGACGTGGTGGGCAAGGGGAAAGGGGGAACGGGGAAGGGGAGGGGGGGGGTAAGGGGGAAGGGGGAAGGGGAGGGGGAAACGGATCTGTTCGGGCCGTGTTGCCAGGGGCGTGCGTTTAGGGGAAGATGAACTCAAGAGGAGAACGAGTTTTCGAACGGTGGCAGCGAAAGGGTGTATATTGCGCAATTTGCGCCAACGATTGCGGTCATGGTGGCAACGAACGGCGCAACTTGCTACAAGGTGTGCAAGCAAGATCGAGTACCGTGCCTGCTTTCCTTCCGCCCGGAGTGGCACAATCCTTCTGCCATGAATGAAACTGTCCGAAGCCGAATCTAACGCCATCTCTCTCCTCGCTGTTCCCCGTCGTCGCTCACGTTCCTGTTTTTTCATTCCACGTTTTTGTTGGCTCGTTTGCACGCCACAGCTCTAGCGCATCGTCAAAGGCCCACTCTCCCACACTGTTCCAGTTCCGCCCACTCTCCCACTCGTTGATTCCGTTTCCTGTCTTGTCTTTCGTTCCTTGGTTGCGCAGCACTTTCAAATATTCGGGTACGCGCGCAGCAAGATGGACGACGCGCAGTTGCGCGAGCTCATTAGCTCCACGCTCACCTGCCGCATCGACAAGAGGTGCGCGCTCTCCGCTCTCCGCTTCCCGCTTCCCGCTCTCCGCCCTCCGCTCTCTGCCCTCCGCGCCCCGCACGCCCGTACCGCCAAATCCCGTCCACCACCTCCTCCGCTTTCCCTCTAACCGTGTCCGCTCCCGCCGCCCTCCATTCCTACTCTACAACCCCTCTTCCCTCCCTCCCCCTTTCTTCTCCACCCCCCACCATCCACCTCTTCCCTCCCCCCTCACTCGCCACTCTCCCCTTCTTCCCCCGCCTTTCCGACTCGTGTGAATCCTTTATCAGTTTTACTGTGCGCATTTCCCCTGCATCCTCCACCCCCTTCCCCGTCCCCGTCCCGCAACATCCCCCCCGGCCCTTCGCGCAAGCCACTCTCTCCCTGCTTCTCCCTCCTCACCATCCGCACATTCTGTGCCCGACCCAACCCAAAGTTTTCTACTAGCGCCGTTCTCTTGCCTATCCTCCCTCGCTCCCAGTTCTTGCCCTCAATCTCGTTAACTTCATCCTTTCCCTGCCTCCTTCCGCTCCCGCTCCTCCCCGCACCGCGCGCCCGTCCCCCCTCTCGCGGCGCGGAGCAGCGACGACTGCGGAGACAAGATGGACTTTTTCCTGGAGCGCTGCTTCTACCACAGCGGGCAGTACGACAGCGAGGACAACTTCGCGGGGCTCGATGCGCGCATGAAGAAACTCGAGGTGCGCTCCCCATGCTGCTCATGCTCGCGTCCCTATGCTGCTGATGCAGATGCTCATGCGGACCGTTTATGCTGCATTTCGTCAGTTACTGCTACCTCGCCGTTCCCTTCCGTCGTCACTCGGCTCCCTCGTTTCCTTCTCCCTACCTTGCCTCCCTCTTTCACGCAATTCCGTCGCCCTCACGCCCGTCTTTATATCCCCCACTCCCACGCTCCTCGTTTTGCCCTTTCCCCGCAATCTCCTCACTTCCCCCCACTTCACTTCCCCCCACTTCACTTCCCCCAACTTCACTTCCCCCAACTTCACTTCCCCCAACTTCACTTCCCCCAACTTCACTTCCCCCAACTTCACTTCCCCCAACTTCACTTCCCCCAACTTCACTTCCCCCAACTTCACTTCCCCCAACTTCACTTCCCCCAACTTCACTTCCCCCAACTTCACTTCCCCCAACTTCACTTCCCCCAACTTCACTTCCCCCCACTTCACTCCCCCCCACACCCCATCACCCAAATCCTCCCTGCCTCCTCCCCCACGGCTCCCCTCCCCCGCCTGCCTCCCCCCCGGCACTCTTCCCCTGGTCACCAGGCGGGGTACATAGCGGACCGCATGTTCAACCTGGCCATCCCGCCCAACGTCTTCGTGCCCGCGTGCTTCAAATTGACTTAAAGCCCCCTTCTCCCGCTTTCCACCTGCTTCCCCCTCCCGTTTCCCCCTCCCGCTCCCTCCACCCCCTCCGTTCCCCTCCCACCCCCCCCCAGGCGGGTTACATAGCGGACCGCATGTTCTACCTCGCCATCCCGCCCAACGTCTTCGTGCCAGCAGCGCGGTCCGTGTCGCTGGCAGCGTCCTCAGAGTCGGGGTACACGCGTGTGATCGTGGAGAAGCCGTTCGGGCGCGACAGCGAGTCCAGCGCGCTGCTCACGAAGCAGCTCGGGCAGCACTTCACTGAGGATCAGATCTACCGGTGAGGCACGGGGGGGGGGGAGGGGAGAGGAGGGAGGGGAGGGTGGGAGAGACAATGGGGGAGCAATGGTTGGTGAGGAAGGATAGGGCTGACGGCATCTGGGACAGCACCTCATCTGAGCACCAGATTTACCGATGAGGGGGGACGGGGAGGGGATGGGGTGAACGGTGGGAAGGAGAAGGGGAGGGGGAGGGAGGAAAGGGGTTTTCTCGTGTACCCCCCCCCTACCTCCCAGTTCCGACCAGCTTTCCCTGTCTGAGACCACATGGTTTGTAACTATTTTGAGGAAAGGAGAGAATCATATATTTTATGCCCTTCGTTCTTCCCCATCCAGACACTTCATATCCTAGCATCGACCACTAACTGAGCAAGAAGCTGGTTACCTCCTCTATCTCACCACTACTGTTACCACTTACGCCCCTTCCCGCATCTCCTACCGTACGTTTTCACTCTCTCTGTCCCTCCCCCCCGCCCAGCATCGACCACTACCTGGGCAAGGAGCTGGTGGAGAACCTGCTGGTGCTGCGGTTCTCGAACCTGGTGTTTGAGCCGCTGTGGTCGCGCCAGTACATCCGCAACGTGCAGATCATCTTCTCCGAGGACTTTGGCACCGAGGGCCGCGGCGGGTTAGTCCAGGGGCGCGTGGGGACGGGGGGTCGGGGGATGGGGGGACCGGGGTATGGGCCGATAGGGATGTGCAGATCATCTTCTCCGAGGACTTTGGCACCGAGGGCCGTGGCGGGTTAGTCAAGACAAGGCAGGGCTGGTTGGTTGGCGACAGGCGGTTTGCTGTAAGTACTGTGGATTACAAGGGGGTTGAGGACAGTTAAAATGGTTCCCCTCAACCCTTGGTTCTCCTTTCGAAAATGACTACGTCATCCTCATTCCATTTTCCCTTTTCTCGGGTTGCTCTCTGCTACTCCCATTCGTCTGCCTGTTGGCCCCCTTCCCCTCTTCCTCCCTTACCCCCTTCCCCACCGTTCAGTGCCTCACTGCTTCCGCTTCCATGTGCGCCTCTCCCATCCTCTTCCCTCCTGCCCACTTCCCCCCCTCCCACCCCGCGGTGCAGCTACTTTGACCACTACGGCATCATCAGGGACATCATGCAGAACCATCTGCTGCAGATCCTCACGCTCTTCGCCATGGAGCCACCCGTCTCGCTCTCCGCTGATGATATCATCAACGAGAAGGTGTGTGCGCCTGACGCTCCTCATGTTGATTTGAAAAGCCGCGCTGCCCACTCTCCTCATGCTGCCGCGCCTCCTGTGTGTCGCTTGTTTCTTCAGCTCTCTGGCTTGTTTTCTCCAGTATGGTGCGTGCATCTGTTCCCTGTTGTGTTTCCACCCACCACCCTCAACTGCATCTGTTCCCTGTTGTGTTTCCACCCACCACCCTCAACTGCATCTGTTCCCTGTTGTGTTTCCTCCCACCACCCTCAACTCAACCCCATCTATCTTCCCTCCATGTAACCTCGTCTCTTCACCATCTCCCAAACTCTCCTCATCCTCTCCTCCATGTCTCTCCGCCTCTCCCCGCCCGCCTCGCCCTCTCTTGTGAGCAGGTGAAGGTGCTGCGGTCCATGCGGCAGGTGAAGCTGGAGGACGCTGTGGTAGCACAGTACAAGGGCCACGTCAGCAAGTCCGGCTGCAAGTGAGTGGCAGGGGGTGGTGGGGAGGGAAGGAAAGTGAGAGGGGGGGGATGGTAGGGGGGATCTCCAGCGAGCTGCCAAGGAGCTCTGATATCTGGGTTTACGATGCTCAGTTGTGTATGGGTCAGCCTTATTTTGTATCATGCCAGTCAATGCTAGTCTTGCTCCTTCTTGTTCCTGCACCAATCCCATCACCACCACCACCACCACCACCACCACCTCTGTATGAGCGCAGGTACCTGGGGTACACGGACGACCCCACAGTGCCCCCCAACAGCATCACACCCACGTTTGCAGCAGCGGCAATGTTCGTCGACAATGCGCGCTGGGATGGGGTGCCCTTCCTCATGAAGGCCGGCAAGGCCCTGCACGACCTCCGGTGAGGCGCAGGGATGGGCATGCACATGCTCACTTCCTTATCTCTCCATGGATAAGTTGATTAGCTTACGGAGGTGCATGTATGTGTGTATGTGCACATGTGTGCACATGTGTCTCTTCTGCACTTGAATCTCAACATCTGTCAGGCACAGGGGAGCCATCTTCCAAACCTTTTCTCCCACCTTCTCCCTCTCTTTTCCACCCACTCCTTTTTTTCTCTTCTCTCTCTCTCTCTCTCTCTCTCTCTCTCTCTCTCTCTCTCTCTCTCTCTCTCTCTCTCTCTCTCTCTCTCTCTCTCTCTCTCTCTCTCCTTTTTCCCCGTTCCATCCACCCCTTCCCCTTCCCTCCCCTGGCAGGTGTGAGATTCGAGTGCAGTTCCGGCACGTGCCGGGCAACCTGTACCAGCACAACATGTTTGGCGTGGACGTGGACATGGCGACCAACGAGTTGGTGATTCGCCTGCAGCCCAACGAGGCCATCTACCTCAAGATCAACAACAAGGTGCCGGGCCTTGACTTCAGGCTTGACCGCTCGCGCCTCAACCTGCGATACATCGACAGGTGCGTGCCTGCGCCCTGCTCTGCTCTGCCCCTGTGTGCTGCCCTTCTATCGTTTTAATAGGGTTGTGTTTCCAAAATCCGATTAGTGCGGTTAGGGATGTTTCTGGTGTGTTGAGTTGGCTGGCAGGACAGCAATCGTGAAAATGGCTTCAACATATGCAGTGGCGATTAGTTTCTAATATATGCTGCGCTGTTATGTGCGGCGGTGGTATCGTGATACATGCAGGTACCAGCACGAGCTGCCTGACGCATATGAGCGGCTGCTGCTGGATGCCATGGAAGGGGACAAGCGCCTCTTTATCCGCTCCGATGAGCTGGAGGCTGCCTGGGGCATCTTCACGCCGCTGTTGCAGGACCTGGAGAAGAAGCACCTTGCTCCGGAGCTCTACCCCTATGGCAGTAGAGGCCCTATTGGGGCGCATTACTTGGCTGCTAAGCACAATGTGCGATGGGGTGATCTTTCTTGATTGAAAGAGGTTAATCATGAAGCAGGTTAGTTGGACAGGACGGGATGTAAAAGAGGTTAAGGTAGGAGGAGCACGGGATATGTTGGGAGAGATTTAGTGTGTTAGATGTTAAGGTGCAGTTGTTATTGATAATGCCAAACACAATTTCGCAATGATCTCTTGCCCTTTTACAGTGTGAAGTATCTATTAAATCTGGTTCTAACTTTTAGTTTTGTACTGTACAATACTGTACACGTGGGAGGAGAACAGTCGTATGAATGAATGTCAACTGATTTCTCGATCACATCGAAGCATGCTGTCCTTGGCTGGATATTGAATCTCGATCGGCTCGCGCTGCGGCCACCTTGATACAAAATCAAGGTTGAGTGCACTAACACGCACCACTTGTTCTGTTACTGAATCAAGCAGTTTGCTAGAGCCGAAACTATGGAGACGCGTGGTGCCAAGCGAAAACTGGAGGCGGCCGCGGCACAAGACAGGGCTAGCAAGCGCATTCAAGTAGAAATGTCCCTTACTCAGCCATCGATTGACAAGGAAACAGAAATCGACAATAAACTTGTGGAGGCTCTGCTGCTAGACATCTCAGAAGGGAACAATGACGAAGGTAGCTAAACGTCAGCATGCTCCGTTCTTACTTCACCCGCTTCTCCTGCGTTTCTAATGTATAATTGCCTTGCCAGACGTCGAGGATTCAGATTGGTTCGGAGATGTTGATGACATGCCCGCCGATCCAAACGTACAAGAAGCCAAGGATTTGAATGCAACCTTTCAAGTGAATTACTCCAAGGTCTTTCATCATTTCTTGCGTCCAAAACTTACGTTTCTGTTCTGGATTCCTGCATCTCACGTATATTGGTTTCATCTCTGCAGGCTTCAGTGCAATTTCACGGAGCTAACTCTCTCCACAATCATTTGGAAGAGTAAGCCTTTGAACCTCATGCCGTTCAGAAATGGGTAATGCGACTCCAAATTATTTTGATTAACGCCTGTGAAACCACTGCGCGGGTCAAGGACTTCTTGTGGAGATGGACCGTTGACTTATCTTTTTGTCACGGAGCCCACGAGTTGAGCGATTCTTGTATCACTCGGTAGATATCCACCTGAGGAGTGTTGCCGCAGCTTAATGTACATCGACCATGCTGATTCTAGAGGCCATTTCTTGTTATATGGCGTTCTGGTTATACTATTGCGTCAGTGGGTGAAACATCCAAATGATACTCTTGCACATGTGGAGGCCTGATCCCTAAAGCCGAATATTGTGTGCTGTTCCAGTAGAGCACGTTCTCAGCCACCTTCAGCTAAGAAGTCCGCATAGGAATGCACAAGGATGAAGCAATGGCGAAAGCACCTGTTTGGCGTCCTGGAGCCAATATTTATTTCAAAACTGCTTTCATTTTACAAGGATAATGTGTATGATGGAGCTTCACAGCGGAAATTACCGTAGTTATACGGTACTCAATTCAGAGTGACCATGCATCAATCATTTACCCTTGAACCAATGGGGGTAGATATGCAGTGCAAAATGGATCACTTGGAAGGGGAATGGGCTTAGGAGGGGAAACTGGGAGCAGCGAGGAAGGAGGGGAAACTGGGAGCAGCGAGGAAGGAGGGGATACTGGGAGAAGCGAGGAAGGAGGGGAAACTGGGAGCAGTGAGGAAGGAGGGGAAACTGGGAGCAGTGAGGAAGGAGGGGAAACTGGGAGCATTGGGGAGGAAGTGCGTTGGAGTCAGATGTAAGTGACAAGGTGATGGTGGGTGGTGTGGGTGGGTGGCATGCGTGGGATGCGTAATTTGGGACAGAGTGTTGTGTTGCAGGTTGGATGAATGGAGCAGGCTGGGATGGTTGGGGTTGGGTTGGGATTGTCAAAACATATATGTTCATATCTTTCTAGGCTATGTAGGGGTTATCCTTAGAGGCTACACAACTTGCTCGACACTCTTGTACCCCACCCCCTTTGACCAAGTCCAAAGCATTCCTTTCCTTGGATTCTCACCTGGTAGAGAGCGGTTAGGTTCCTGGGACCGCCGTTTAAGGACAATTTTTTCCCGAGCCCACCGTTACCACTGCCCCGTTAGCTGGCCGTGGTGCGCCCCTAGCGCGCGCCGTTTTTTCTGCCCGAAAAACGCCCCTACCGCACGCGCCTTACTGCCGGTCCCCCCCCCCCCCCCCACCCCCCCCCCCCCCCCCCTTCCCTTTGTTGCCCGTCGCGCACCACTACTCCGCGTGTCGCCGCACGCCCTTGCTGCGCGCCGCTAACGCACTGCCCTGCCCCGCATGCCAGCGCGCTGCCCTGCCCTGCTCGCCTGCGCGCTGCCCTGCCCAGCACCCCGCCGCGCTGCCCTGCCCCGCACGCCAGCGCGCTGCCCTGCCCTGCACGCCTGCGCGCTGCCCTGCCGAGCGCCCTCCTGCACTGCCCTGCCCTGCACGACTGCACGCTGCCCTGCCCAGCGCCCCGCTGCGCTGCCCTGCCCCGCACACCAACGCGCTGCCCTGCCCTGCACGCCTACGCGCAGCCCTGCCCAGCGTGTGAAAGTTAGAACGAAGAATTCCATGTCACGAGCTCTGATACCATGTCAGAATCCCAACCACTTAGACCATTGGCATAAAATGGCTTGTTTGTATAGCGGGTTTGTGCGCCCATAACCCCCCAGGCGAACGCGCTTGTAACCCCCCTTAGGATCAATCGGGCATCCACAGTGCAGATCTACTGACACCCCCCCACACTGGGAGGCCCACGACTGAGCACAGCGCCAACGGCCTACTTGTGCATACACTGAGATTCGAACTCGAGACCACTCTGATACCATGTGAAAGTTAGAACGAGGAATGATGGACTAGGAAGAGGACAGTACAAGATTGTATGGGCAAAACCTGACAGGGCTGTACCCCATAAGGAGTGCCCCACTACAACCTAGAGTATAGTTCTGATACAGCGCCTTGCCGCGCTGCCCTGCCCCGCGCGCCTGAGCTCCCCCCCTCCCCGACCTTGCCCAGTGCACGGTGAGCGCCCTGCTGCCAAACATGCCCCGCACGCCCTCCTCCCCTACGTGCTCGCGCTGCTGCGCGCTCCTGCCCTGCCTTGCGCACAACGCCAACTGCTGTTGCCGCCCTTGCTACCCCCTGCGCACGCTCCTACAGCTGCTACTGCTACTGCTCCTACCATTGTTGCCACTGCACCTACCGTTCCAGCTACCGCCGCTGCAGTCGCTACTGCAGCCCTTGTGCCGATGCTGCTGACTGACACTGCCTACCATGACCACTATCACTGTCCTACGTCAGCAGTAGCCGAGTGTGCAGGAGTCTCTCTCGCTGCAGCAGCTTCGCGAGTGGGCTATCTGGTGGGGCAGCCCTGGTGGCGGAGCTAGCCGTGCTTGTCGGCGGAAGCTACTTTCGCCACAGCAGCGTCGTGAGTGGGCTGTCCGGTGGGGCAGCCCCGGTAGAGGGGCTTGGGGTACTAGTGCTGGGGGTGTAGAGGCACCTAGTGGTGTAGAGGCTACTAGTCTAGTTGCTTGTGACTCAGCTAGCACAGGCGCAGAGCCAAAGGAGGCCTTGCACACTTTCACTCTAGACTCACGCGCGCCTCGCTGCTTCTTCCGCAACAGCACCACAGTCACACCGCTCACAGTCCTGGCTCCTGTCACTCTGGCTGTCCCCGTTGGTGGCTCCGTCGTTGCACGGGGCTCCACTGTTCTCTTGAGTCCGGAAGTCCTCTCAAGGCTCCACCTCCCCTCGTTCGCTAAGAACCTGGTGGTTACGTCTGTCCTCCAGGACCAGTTTGTCACTGTGCCTACTTTTGGAGGAGAGCTTGTGGGGATCTGTACGGACTCCCGCACTGGTGAGCACCTCGCCATGTTCACTCGGAGACCCGGGTCTGGTCTGTACACACTGACTACTGAGTCTGTACTAGTGGCTCAGTCAGGTCAGGTAGCTGCGTCGGTAGAGGGCGCTGCGTCTTGTTCGTGTCGTCTCTTCACACACCAGACTCTCCTCTGGCACCACCGTCTTGGCCACCCCACTTTGCCACGCCCGCGTGGCATGCACTCCCGCCTCCTTCTATCTGGTCTCTCCAAGTTCTTGCCCCCAATTTCGAGGTTGCTTGCACCGCCCTGCCTTCCCTGCGTCGAGGGGCGGCAGCGCGCCGCTCCTCACTCCTCCTCGTTTCCTCCTACCACTGCTCCTTAGCAGACCCTCCACATGGACATGAAGGGCCCCGCCCGCGTCACTGGACAGGGTGGCGAGCGCTACTTTTTGCTCATTGTCGACGACTACACGCGCTACACCACAGTCTTCCCCTTGCAAAGCAAGGCGGATGTCTGCAGTGTCTTGATCTGCTAGATCCGCGCTGTCCGTCTTGAGCTTAGCACTTGGTTCCGCCAGAACCTTCCGGTCTAGCGGCTGCACTCTGACCGAGGTGGTGAGTTTTCCTCCCGTCTTCTCGAGGACTTCTGTGGTGCTGAGGGCATCTGCCATTTGTTCACGCTTACGGCCTCTCCAGAGAAAAATGGGATTTCAGAGCGCCGCAACGGCTTGATCATGGAGGTTGCTCGCACCTCCATGATTCATGCGGCTGCTCCCCATTTTCTATGGTCGTTTGCGGTCCGATATGCCGCGCATCAGCTCAACCTCTGGCCCCGTGTCTCCGTGCCGGAGACCTCGCCTACACTGCGTTGGACGGGGAAGGTTGACGATGTGTCGGACTTTCCGGTCTGGGGTTCCCTCTCTCTAGTCCACGATTTGCTCGCGGGCAAGCTCTCTCCACGCACTCTTCGGTGCGTGTTCCTTAACTTTCCCACCGACGCACCGTCCTGGTAGTTTTACCACCCGGGCTCTCGTTGTGTGATGTCCTCCTGCGATGTCACTTTTGACGCGTCATTCTGCTACTGCCGTCTTCACCCCCACCGCAGTTCCCCGGTACCCCTCCTGTCACTCTCCCTGGTTGTCGATCCCCCCCCGATAGCCCCCCTCCCTCCTCCTGGTCCTGCTCCCTCAGGTGTGTCTCAGGTAGACCCACCCCTTTGGTTGAGCCTTTGGAGGTCTCTTCTGACACCTCTGGCCATGCTGAGGGGGGTGACCCGACTGCTGCCGACACTGTGGCCCATCGCCGCTCCGCGCGTCTGGCTGTCCCTCCCGGTTTTCTGTCAACGGGAGTTGGGTGGGGCCTCGTCCTCGCTTTGGCGGAGCCAAATTCGTGGTCGGGTGCGAGGGAAGCAGCCGACCTGCAGCAGTGGACAAACTGGTCAATGGGGTTGGTCGACCTGCACGGGGACCACTGCGCAGGCGCCGAATTCAGGATGGCGCCGACTTTGGGGAGGTCGACCTGGGAAGTCGACCCGCGGAGGGCGTCGACTTGGTGACGCCAACTTGGGGCAGCCGACTTGGGTGGCCGGCTGAGAGGATTGCTGGTCGGCCTGGTGGTTGGTCGAACAGGAGTGTTGTCGACCTGGAGCTGGTCGACCAAGGGAGTGGTCGACCTGGAGAGGTCGACTGGATGTGGCCATCGACTTGGGAGGTCGACGGGCACATGCAGGAGCAGCTGGTCGACGTGGTTGCTTAGTTGACGAGGTTACCTAGGTGACGAGGTTCTGCGGAGGCGCGCGAAGGTCGCCAGGGTGACTTCAGCGAGGTCGATCTCTGGGGAGGTATCCCGAGGTCGACGTGGCTGGTGAGCACAGTCGCTGGCGTGGAGTTGACCTAGAGGTCTGCGTCGTGCACGTGACGAGGAGTAGTGCACCAACCAGCTGCGCGCACCTGCGACGCAGTTGCTTCGTTGTCCTGTGGGTGCAACGCTGTGTAGCCGACTTGCAGCAGTGTTGGCATAATGTGGACTTGCAACGTTGGCAAGCCGCGACTTTTCTCTACTGGAGTGCGGTCGACCAAGCCATGCTGGCACGCGGTCGACCGTGCTGCGCTGGAAGTCGACCAA